TTGACTGAACCTAAATATGTACATGTTACATTAATTTCCTTCACATTCACACGATCACCCTCAATTCTCGTTAACGGCATAGATAACATTTCAATACAAATATTCTAATTGCACGTCTCCAATTTCCTTCCTTCACACGATTTTTCTCATTTTCATCGTGCTTTATCTATGTTACACGGCTGCAGGAAGAAAGTTGCAAAGCAAAGAGGAAACCAAAAATATCATTTTTCGATTTATTCGAATTTGTGCGATATCTTTCTTTTGAATAAAACTATTTTTGTTCATTTATTGTTATTTTAAACTAAATATTTAGACCCGTGGACCGCCCGCAAAACCCGCAAAATATAGTGGGTTGGGTTTAGGTCTAACGATAGTGAACCGCAGATCTCATGGGCTAGCCCATCACGGGCAACAAAGAAAAAAAGAACCCATGGCGGGACGGGCCAAATGGGTTGGGTTGACCTGCTTTGAAATTTGATTGATGTTGACATATATAGTTGTCCTATATGGTTTATTAATTTTCTTCTATTAGCACCAAATGTTCAACTTTTTCAAATACGTTAGATTTTCGTTTAGTACTCAAGTAAAAGATATTAGGTTATAGAAATTCAAACATTATTAACGTGAGATAATGTGTTTATAATTTGAGAATCATATCCCACGTCGAAAGCAAATAAAAACTTTAAATGATATACAAGAAATATGGATTAAGTAAAACGTATACTGTAAAGAATAATTTATAACTCATAGAACTGGGAGGAGAAAATGCTCTCAAGGGAGCGTCTATGAAACAGCTCTTTTTGAAAACGGTATGCGTTTCAGGCAGTTCCGGCCATAGCGTCAAGGCAGAAATTACATGATGATACTTCAGCACCAACCGATGGCTGCGTCTCTCGCTGGGAATCTGGAACGAGGACACAGATATATGGAAAGTCGAGGGAGGTTGCAGAGGAGGATCCGGCGTGATGGTTTCTCTCAATCTCAAAGCGAAATTGGTGGGATGATCTCGATTTCCTTGAGTAGATCAAAATCAATCAACATATAATAGACCGATCATTTTGGGAGATTTGCAGCACTGGCGGATGATATTATATAGAGTGAGTCGAGGATTCTATCATTCTCACGCAATAATCTCAAATCTCAGGGCAATATCTATCACATCTTTTGTTTTGAGCTTAGCTTCAATCTCACCAACAATGGCTTTTTCGGGAAATTGGTGGCTCCGGATCAAGAAAAGAACAGAGCAAAACCTTTGCAACTTCCACCAGTTGTTACCACGCAGATTATGAAGCGATTCGAGAAAACCTTGGTGGGACGAGTCCTAAATCTAGAAGTACATGAAACCAGAGTGAAAGCGTTGATGAGTTTTTTACCATCGGTGTGGAATTGCAGCGATCGAGTGCAGGGGATTGAGATGGAATGAGGAAGTTTTCACTTCCGATTCCAGGAGAAGGCGGATCTACAAGCTATCCTCGACAACCGACCATTCCATTTCGATGGATGGATGAATGTGCTAGAGCGTTAGGTTCCAACGGTGACGATGGACTTTCCGACCTCCATTTCGTTCTGGATTTGTATTATGAATCTCCCTGATATATACAAACACGAGAGTATAGTCAAGAGGATGGGTGAGGAATTGGGAGAGATCATGTTCTGGGAAGTTGTTGAACCTTTTACTCGGTTCCGTGTGATGCTTAACTGTGAAGCTCCATTGCTTTTTCGCATGGAATCCCGGTCAGACACCGGCAAAATCTTCTGGATATCTTTTGACTATTTGAAGTTGAAGAATTATTGCAATTTGTGTCTTCGAATGTCTCATGATGCCAAATCGTGTCCAGATCAGGTTGTACACCGTCGTGAACCACACCGGAGGAGGTCCGATGATGAAGACATAAGAAGAGAAAAGGAGCCTAGGAATGGAAGGATTCAGGTGAATCAAGCAAGGACGGAGCCTAAGCAAGGCTCGAATGGGAATACACTGGATGCGGCTTCCACATCAAAGTGGAGACCGGTCTGTCGTGATCTCCTCCCTTAGTTAGGGTGGCTCGAGAGTCGGACATAGCGAGACTGTTGACGCAACCGCCTACAAAAGAATGGATGCGTAAAGCTTTCGGCAAAGGTGGTGAAGGGAGGGAGGCCGCTGATATGGAGCGGAAGAATCAGTCGGAGAAACAGGCACCAGAGATCTCCACCGGCGAAGAGGGAGCTCTCTAGTTTCAGAAAACAGAGGAGGAAGCAAGGAAAGCAAATCACCGAAATGCCCAAAAGGACCGGAGGGAAGCTTCGGAGGGTCGGCGGCAATCGGAGAAAGTGGAGCCTGATCCGGTGGCGTCGATTAGGATGGAAAAATCACCATCGGATCATCTTGTTAGGGTGGAGAAGGCAGACATGACAGGGCCGAGGTTTGATGCAGAGAAGATGTTGTTTTGACCGAGTGGGCCTAAAGCCCAGGAACATCAAAATCTGGGCCAGAATGTGTTGTTGGATAGAAATGAAATTATTTTTCCTTTAAAGGAGAAGGTGATGGGCCCCTAGACACGAGTTGGGCCTAGGTTAAAGCCTCAAGAGCCCCGGAAAATCACACAAAGGATCTATAAAGCGATTGGGGGTCAAGAAGAAGATCCAAAACAGCCCCTTTTGGGGCAGTCGAATTCACAAGCATGCGTCCTTAGCTTGTATGGATCCAGCAGACGGATCTAAAGCTTTGAACGGGGCTTCCAAACCATCCTCCCAGAAGACGGGACCCGATGACAGTGGTTAAAAGGAAACCACCGGCGGACGCTTAAATGATCTTAAGTTGGAACTATTAGGGAGCAGGTAGTTTCTTGATAGTTCATCGATTGCGTGAGTTCCATAA